CCTAAAGTATGTCTGGCTAAGGAATTCTGGGAGTTGAAGTCCATACAGTACCTCTTAAAGTTGCTGAGGTTGAGAAACAGGGCCTTAGAAGACTCACCTTCCTATCCAAGACCAGCATTCCCTCCCACTCAGTCTCAAACCGAGCCTCTGCCCTCTACATCAATCCCAGGTTTTACAAAGCCAACCAAGTGGCGGGTTATTCTTGGGCCCGTGAGGAGCAGACAGGGTTAGTCAAGGGCGGCAGCAGGAACACAGCACACAGTACCGGGAAATCGTTAATCGCTTGTATGGACCAACGCCGTCTGGCAGAGCAAGGAGACATCTGTGCATGAGAATGTTACGCCCGGGAGAAGGGGAGGAGGAGAGCCGTGGAGAAAATAAGAGAAAGGAAGAAAAAAAGAGGCAGCTGAGAAACTCTGTCTTTTTAAAGGACTTGGGAGGCCCCAAAAGCTGCAGAGAAGCAAAATAGGCAGCTCCAAAACATGGCTGGAGACTCCCCCAACCCCACCCAAGGAAGGGAAGGAAGCAGAGCCGTCCCCCAAAAAGGCATCCTTGGATGGTCCACCGTCCCAGGTTACAGGCCCTGCCGGTGACATTTTTTTGAGAGGTCACGGCCTGTTTTACTCACAGCCCATAAAAGCGGACGAGACCTACCGATGGAAAGGAGGGAGCTGCAAATCCACCCAAAACGTTCAGAGAGGATCCGTTTTTGGCGTGGTTTAGTTTCCCCTTTACAGGGAATTGAGAGGAAGAGGAGCCTTCGCTGCTAAAGATTAAACCACCGTCTGCCTGCAGGTTTACCTGTGACCGCCTTTGCAAGCCTTTCCGTCAGACCAAGGAATTCAGAACTTAACGGGCAGGTGGTTAGGAGCAGCTTCCATGACTTGGTTGAGAAAAACATGCACAGGACTTTCAAGAGCCCACCTATAGGACATCCATGACCGGAAGACAGGAATTCGGTGACTACGGCCCCCGCGCCCCACAGGAAGCCCCCCCCTCTCCGCCCGTAACTAGTTACAGTATGCAGGCTTTATTCCGTGTTGGAGGCTTGCGTGTGACTAATTGAAAACATGATCCCCGTTGTAAAGGGGTACGATCAGGAATTCCTATTCTAAGCGACGCCATCGAGAGGGTTCAATCTCAACGAAGTTTCGGAGTGAGGAGTCCTGCTCGCTAATCACTCCTGGCTCTGAATTTGCCCAACTGGGCCACAGCTCAGCTCAGGATGGACCCTCCCACACACACACACCCAGGTTCCAGTGCTGTCTGTCCCCAGCCAAGCCACCTCTCCAATGGATCTTAGGAGGTAGATACAGTCAAAAGCAAACAAAGGTGTGCTTCATTTTGTCGACTTCAGGCCACAGAAGAAGTGATTAGATTAATAAATTAATTACAGAGCAGCAGCACTGGGGATTCGTTGGAAACACATGTCAAACCCAGCATAGCTCTTTTATACAACAAACGTGCACTACAACCTCGGAGGAATGTTAGAAGAGGATAATTGAGAATAAAAGATAGAAGAGAATAAAACAAGTTAGATGAAAATATAAGTATAATGAGTAAAAACATATAAAATAGATAAATATAGAAAAGAAATATAATTGAATAAAACTAAAGGGAGAAATAATGAGAAATTTGAAAGGATATGTATGTGTTTATAAGGAAATGTCTCAATGCTGCATAAAATAATGTTTTATTTGCTTTGTTAAAATTTACAAATAACTTTCAGAAAACAGGTTTTATGTTCTTATGTTTTATGTTTTGTTTGTCTTTAAAAACTAATAAAATTTGTTTAAAAAAAACAAACAAACGTGCACTGCTTATGCACTGCTTATTCCTTTGTATTTTAGTAATAAACTGACTTACGGGCCACACTGTTTATGGATTCTAAATTTAGTATAGTTGGACAACGTATAATTGACAGACTGGATTTTATCATAGATTTTAGCTGTTATTTATTACTTTATTCTAGAATTTTTAATTGTATATTTATTACATATTTTTATTTGTTCTGGTCTCTAGTCTATGACTGTAATAATTTGAAATTCAATTGATGGAGATAAATTAAAGGATGAGCTACTAGCTCTCTCTGGCTAACAGATTAGGCCAGTGTTTCTCAACCAAATTTGAAGAGGTGTAGACCAACCCACTGAATGATGAGTTTTTGGAGGCTGTGAAGGCCGTGGAGGAGTATTCTCCAAACCTGCTTCAAGAACGAAGGCCTTGTGCAACCCAGAGGTAAGGCATAGGGGCTTGTCAACAGAATACCACTTAAAGCTAAGGAGGTAAGATGGTCCCCCTTGGGGAATGGCATAAGGTGGCCTTTTTGAGGGGCAGCAGAGGTCCCAGGGCTGAAGTCAAGGGCTGAATGTAGAGCTAAAGGTTTCCTTCGGCATCCAGCAGATGCTCAACACACTAAGGTGATTACAGGAGTATAGCAAATGGTCTCAAGTACTGCTCCCCACTCCACCCCGAGATATTCTCTCACAGAAGATGGCAGCCAAAGCTGTACCTCTTTAGCTGCCAACTTTAAGCAGTGCCTTCTATGCCTTCAACATGCCCTTGCATTATCAACTAAAGCAGAGGAGGGGAACAATGGCCCCTTTTATGACTTGTGGACTTCAACTCCTAGAATTCCTGAGCCGACCATGAATTAAGCCAGTTGAATTCCACAAGTCCTAAAAGGGGCCATGGTTCTTCACCCCTGAACTAAAGCAAATCCCAAATCAGAATTCTAAAGGAATTTCTGCACTCCCTTTTGACCCCATTTGTCTCAGGACAGCTCAGCTTCAAAATGTCCCCAAGGTGCTTTTTTCTAAGAGGCAAACTTGACAGATCTGCCATCATAACCACTTCAGCCCTGCTTCACTTTGATGGCTTCCAAGGGGAATAGGGGGGGATGACAGGAACCAGGTGTGCCAAGCGGAGGCAGCGGTTGAAAGATCCAAGGACGCTGGCATGGGGACGGAATACAAACACCCACCAAAGAGGTGTCAAACTTTAGAACGGTTACCAAAACACCTAGTTTGAATATCATTGGATATTAAGAAGATGACCAAGGGAGCAAGGGCCTGGGAGAAGGGAAAAGCACTGGGTTTATGCGGGAATATTCAGGTCTGGCTTTGCTTGCCCTGTGACCGCTTGGCTTTAGTAAAAGCACACCATTTGCTACCAATGGAATCGAGGGTCTTTCTTTCCTAAATGCCCAAGTCAGGACAGGCCTGACACAATCGGACCTTCTTGGATGAGTGGGGATTTTTCTTCTCTGAAAACTTTTCATTTCTCATCCAAGAAGCTTCTTCAATTCTAACTAACTTCCATTCCCCACCAGTTAGTTAGAACTGGAGAATTTCTTGAATGAAAATCAAGAAAGTCCAGCTGCCTTTTGGGAAAAGCACCATTACCTGGATGACTGCAAATCTACGTAGACACGCAGCTTCAAGGCTGGGTTTTTTTCCGGCCACGAGGGGTGACGGGGCCCTCCTCTCTGTCCTGTCGCAAAGTGTTCTGTTAAAGGAGGGCGCTGCAGAGCCTTAGACGACATGGCTATAACCTCCTAGCCAATGCTGGGATTTTTGCTGCACAACTGACCTTCAGGTAATTTTCTCTGAAGGTTTGCCCGAAATAACTGTCTAGGGACACCTAAAGAACAATGACAGTAAGTGGAGCTGTTCAGTCTAAGAAGTCAACAGGTGCAGTTTTCCACCTATTCAAGGAAGGTGTTTCAGTTTTTGCAACTGAGATGGTCTGAAGTGCCTGCAATCCAAAATGGAGGGCGCTCTCCAGCCATTAGGATCCAGCAGGACCAACGCTGAGAAACCTGCCCAGGTGTGTGTGTACCCTCCTGACCCACACTTCAAAAAACCATGGTTAACAGGGGACATAATAGAAGTGCAGGCACTGCTCGCCCTGGAAAAGCATGGACAAGACCTCCACACAATAGAATTTTCCTAGCAAATAAAAGCCTAACAACTGGAGCCCAATAAGGAAGCGCCACTGCACTGAACAGCACTCCAACAAGAACTGCAGGTGGGTCCTCGACTTACGACCACAGTTGAGCCCAACATTTCTGTTGTTAAGTGAGACATTTGTTAAAGCGAGTTTTGTTCCATTTTACAACCTTTGTTGCCACGGTGGTTAAGTGAATCCCTGCAGTTGGTTCAGTTAGTCACATGGTCGTTAAGCGAATCTGGCTTCCCCATTGATGTTGCTCGTCAGAAAGTTACAAAAGGGAATCACCTTGACCCCCCGGGGGCGGTGCAACTGTCATAAATGTGAGCCAGTTGCCAAGTGTTTGAATTTTGATCACGTGACCACGGGGGGAATCCTGCAATAGTGCGAAAAACGATAAGTCGCTTTTTTTTCAGTGCTGTTGTAACTTTGAGCACTCACTAAGTGAACTGTTGTAAGTCAAGGACTACCCGTAGTAGCCTGCTGTCTGTCTGACCAGCACAGCTTACTGAAGAAGAATCTTTCTGCAGGGCTCCAACAAACCCACCCTCATTCAAGTCAAAAGTCCCTAGCCGCATCAAGAGAAAAGTAAATTGATTTATTAGGAGTGGCCATGTTGGTGTTTAGCTGGGATTAGCCGATACTAAATTACATCATGCATTTCCCCCTTGACCCTGGTCTTCCCCCCCACCCCCCGGATGTGACTTCTCCAATGGGACATATCCATCTCCAAGAGCAGTGGTGGGATTTATCCAGAACTGGTTAGAACCTGCTGAATTCACCACCTCTGTCCAAGATGCTCTCCAATAACCTTCTTATGCTCCAACAACTTTGGGCCACTGGGGGTGATTATCTAAGCATTTAAGGAATGCCTTGTCCCCCCCCCCCCCCCCCCAAAAAAAAAAAAAGACCAAAGGAGTATCTTTTTAGTTGACACCTTCCGGATCACAGGGGAAGCAGCTGGCCAGGAGCTGCCAAGAGTGAGGATTACAGCAGGCTTTGCTGAACAAGCCAGAGGTCACCGGGCAAGGAGTTTCATCGGCTGTGGGCTTACCCTCTCCTTGTAGTAGAAGGAACTGATGGAGACCTGCTCCTTTTCACTACGCGTGGGACTGCCACCATACAACCGCAGATTGCCGGGGCTCTCTGCACGGATCTTCATGGGCGTGATGAGGCCGCTGTGGTAGGCCGACAGCGCTGACAAGGATCTGAACAGAAGGGAAGAAGTTCCGGTCATTCTCCAGCCAGATGCACCTTCTTTGCAGCAAAAAGCTCTGAAGCGTCCTGAATGCGCAGAATGCCGCAAACATTCAGACATGGATGTCCACTTTCCTAGACAGAGCATTTCAGCCTTCCCCACGCTGAGATCCTCCATGGGATTAGAGTTGGCCTCCATGGTAGAGGTTCTCCTGCTTGAGCGAGGAGCTGGTCTAGAAGACACCCCCAAAGCCCTTCCAGCCATTTCTATTTCTATTCTATTCCAACTAGACTAATAGCTGTGATGGCCGGAAGATACTATGCCATTAAAGCCACCAGCCCTGTTCTCTTTTGTGGCTATTCTCACGGTGAAGACTTGTCCATTACAGGTAGTCCTTGACTTACAACCGTAACTGAGCCCAGAATTATGGTCCTAAGTTATGCTAGTTGCTAAGTGGATTACTACGCGGGCATGACTGATTTTGCAATCATTTTTATGGCGGTCACAGTAATTGCTGGGCAATCATGGTCTTGTGAACGCAGGACGCTGCAAACAGCCCTACATTGGCAGTGCCCCAAATGCAACCATAGGACTGCGGGAGGACTGGCCATTGAAAATTCGAATCTGAGTCATGAGAAGCCCTTGGGAGGTCTGTTGTAACTCTGAACAGTTGCTAAACAGCCAGTTGTAAGTCGAGAACTAGCTGTCCCCCTATTCACTCTGTGCATAGTCCTGAGTGCAGGAAAATATTATTGACAAAGGGAAGAAAAATTCCTTAGGGTATTTCTAGTAAGAATGGAGTGGTTTTCCACAGCTGTGTCAAATTTCCCAACACATGGCTGCTTTTCCAATGGCAGTCTTATAGTTATGCACCAATTGTTTGAAGGCCAGGCAACTGATTGTGAATCCCTGTTTGTGTTGAATAGCCTTTATTAGAACAGGCTAGGCTAGGATAAAATGGAAGACTAGGATAGGATAGGATAGGACAGGAATAGAATATAGAATAGAATAACAGAGTTGGAAGGGACCTTGGAGGTCTTCTAGTCCAACGCTCCGCTTAGGCAGGAAACCCTATGCCATTTTCAGACAAGTGGTTATGCAATCTCTTCTTAAAAACTTCCCAGTGTTGGGAGCATTGACAACTTCTGGAGGCAAGTTGTTATTAACGGATTGAAGTTTAACTTATCTATTTTATCTTGTTCCATGCAAAAGCTTATGACTATATAGGCAATCAAAGGGACTGGATTTCGTACATTGCCAGAGGAAATTTTGACAGGGTTGCAAGTCCGGTCACATTTTCCGCCCCCCAATGAACCAATTTAATTAAAAAGCATAAGCTTTTGTGAGCCGCAGCTCACAAATGCTCGTGCCTTTTAATTAACTTGGTTGGTTGGAAAAGATGCAACCAGACTCTTTCACTGAAGTCAGTTCTGTCTTCTTAAAGCTGGGAAGGTCTGTGAAGGCCACTGACGGCCAATGCTTGATGCTTACCGGGGTGTTGGTTCAGTCGGCGAGACCGTACGGTGCATCGTCATTGGTCTGGTGAAGTATACCAGGTACCCTGAAATAATCGAGAGAAACCTACACTGGAGAAGCTTTCCTCAAATGGAAAGAGAGACCCAACAGCCGTTATTCCATGCACAAATTTTATGATTCATTTATTATTTTAAAGGAACCACATTTGTTCATCAACGGTAAAGGTAGTTCTTGCAACAGTAATTGAGCCTGGCAATTACAGTTGTACATCATGACCACTGTAAAGTAAATTGGACCTAAGGTTTAGGTTGCTTTTTTGTGGAGGCTGTTAAGCCAACGCAACACACCCATTGTTTGCCGTGTGCTGGTTTTTGCCAGAATTGGAAGTAAATGTCAGTTTCCAGCAAAACCATTGTAAATCACTGTCATTTGTCTGTAGGACACTACAAATTAGGGACAGTGGCTGAGTGCCCAGAATATGATCGTGTGACTATGGGGGAAGGGGGAATGTTGGAACTTGATACCGGGTCATAAATCCTTTTGGAAGGGGTGTGTGTGTCTATTGAAACTTCAAACGATTGCTACGTTCAGTCGTAAGTCGAGGATTGCCTTTAGAAAAAGGCATGTAGTATCTCCAAACATAAGCAGAGTTGGAGGAGGTCTGTATGACCTGGGAATCCCAGAGTTGATATCAGACTGGGGGGGAGAACACTCTGGAAAATGGTGGGGTATCACAGTAGTTAGAATGCAGTATTGCAGGCTAATTCTGCCGACTGCCAGCAGTTCGAGTCTCACCGGCTCAAGGTTGACTCAGCCTTCCATCCTTCCAAGGTCGGTAAAATGAGGACTCAGATTGTTGAGGGTGATAGGCTGGTTCTATAAACTGCTTAGAGAATGCAGTAAAACACTTTAAAGAGGTATATAAGTCTAAGCGTTATTGCTATTTCTGTACGACTGCCAAAGAAATTACAAGATGCATTAATCAGAATTCAGGCTGACTCAGGAATGCCTTTATTTTGTGGAAGAAGGCAAGTTTCTGGATTCCTGAACTTGTAGCATTAGAGCAATTGCTGGTTGTATAGAAGCTGTAACAAACCAGCAACGGACAGCTCCCTCTTTCTGATGGAACAGATGAGACAGGACTTCCAGCCACCCTCCTCCTTTTTTTCCATCTTCCTAGAGTTAAGATTCAACTCACCTGCCCCACAGAACCTCGCTCCAGAGGTTCGTGGAAATGGAATATTGGAATCCTGATAGGAGCCGTAGGCATTGGAGACCCTCGGAAAGGTTGGCAAAGGCGGCGTTACGGAATTTGGGAGTGCATAGGGGTCGCTGGAGGAGCTGTCTTCCTGGTTCTGAAAAGACATGGAATTAAGACACTCGGGGGATTTTCCCCCCCCCCCCCCCCACTTAACAGCAACCCCTTCTCATAAAGGCCTCCCTGGATATCAAACCAGGAATGGGCAGCGTGTGGGTTATGTATGACTCCCTATCTCCCTGTCTGCACCTCCACAATCCAGACCACAACATTTGAGAGCCAGTTTGATCTAGTGCTTAAGGCATCAGCCTAGAAGTCAGGAGATAATAAGTTCTAGTCCTGCCTTAGCCATGAAAGCCATCTAGCTGCCTTTAATTTCATCACCAGGAGACAGTGAGTTCTAGTTCCCCCCCTTAGCCACGAAAGCCAGTTGATTGACTTGGGCCAATCCCTTGGTATAGGGTTTCCTGCCTAAGCAGGAGGTTGGATTTGAAGACCTCCAAGGTCTCTTCCGACCCTGTTATTCTATTCTATTCTATTCTATTCTATTCTATTCTATTCTATTCTATTCTATTCTATTCTGTTCTGTTCTGTTCTGTTCTGTTCTGTTCTGTTTTCTGTTCTATTCTATTCTATTCTATTCTATTCTATTCTATTCTATTCTATTCTATTCTATTCTAAATAATTATGATGTCATGTAGTGTGTTGGACTGGTACTTCCCACTCCTTCCAATAACCATTTGAAGACAAGAGCCTTTGTGAGGTTTAACACATTTATTTTGGGTACCCGGAAATATTTCCTACTCCTGCCAAAGATATAAGCCCATACAAGCTTAAGCACTTTTGTTATGCAGGCCTCCAGGGGCTAAACAAAGAGAAATGCAACTCTTTTAGGAAACAAACTGCCTGACTTCTGTTGCACTTAAGAAGCAGAATAATTTTTAATGTTCCTTCTATCAGAAAAGAGTCTTTAACTCTGATCAGGAGATACAAACTTTGTTTTGCCCTACTCTTTTGACAAAGCTGTGGGCTGGAAAGAAGAGACGGCAGGGTGGACAAGCAGCTCAGATTGCGAGCATGCATACACCATAACTTCAAAATGTAGTCCTAAGTACCTTTTGGAGGGTGGGGAATTCTAGGAGTTTAAGTCCACAGGTGTTAAAGTCTTAACGTGGCCAAGAGTGGATGCCCCTGCTTTAAACAGTGCTAAGCAACTAGTCATAAATTGAGGACTCCCCTAGCCTGCCCAGAACCTTCCATGCCCTTTTAAGAACCACAAGGTCCTTAATGCTTTCCACTTTTCCAGGGCCAGAATTAAATTTCTCCACCAGGGATGGCAATCGGATTGATACAGGCAGAGCACATTTTGGGGCGCACATTTCCTACCACAACAGACTCCAGGCAGGAGACCAGCTGGCGTAGACATGGCTCCAGGCAGCACTGGTTGCGTTTCACTTTCTGCATGGAAGTGTCCTTCAAGATCTGAAAGAGATCCCAGATGTGGGTTGAATTGTTTTCCGAGCCTGCACACCAGAATTCCAAGCTGTGGAACTGTCACGGGTGGGCCATTAATTTCCCCAAAGGGCCACATGAGGAGGCCTGCCGCAGCTCCCATCGGTAAGGAACTCCGGCCGGCGGGTTCAGAAGAAGGGCCTTCTCTGCTGTGGCTCCTGCCCTTTGGAACACCTTGCCCCCTGAGATGAGATTGGCTCCCATCCTTCTGTCCCTCCGCAGAAGCCTGAAAACCTGGCTCTGCTGGATGGCCAGGGGCTCTGGTGGTGGAGAATCACAATGGAGATGGAAGCTGTTGAATAAAGAGGCAATCCCACCTCTTCCCCCCACCCCCTCAACATCCTGTTCCCTCCCTCCCCATCTTTTAACTATATTTTATTTTGACAGGGATTTGCCATTCACTACAAGAATGGGCAGCATATAAATTAGACAGATGATAGATAGATAAATGGATGGATGGGTAGGTAGGTAGATGATTGATCGATAGATTTATTGACACGCAGGCAGGCAGGCAGGCAGGCAAGAAACTGGAACTGATGTGGAGCTGTTCACAGAGTCATTCACTACAAGATGGGTAGCATATAAATTCATTCAATCAACCAACCAGTCAATCGGCAGACAGACAGACGGGAAAATGGGACTGTTGTGAGAGGCTGAACCAAAGTGGGAAGATGTGTAGGCATGCACACACATATATGTAAATTGAAGAAGAAAAATAGCAGTCATCTTCAAAATGAAAGCAATCCACGCGGGCCGACAGGGACACCCAAACAGCCCAATGTGGCTTGGGGGCTGTTAGGAATATAAGTCACCTAACAGGTATTTGGGTTAGAAATATATAAACCAGGATAAACATTGTAGTACTATATCTTTAAGGGAATGCAAGAGCATGCAATTGGGTGTGGTTTCTCAAACAGCCATAAGATGGAGCCAGAAACCTGGGTTGTTTAGTCTTAGTCTTAATCTCAAAAGAGAGTGTGTCTCCATCTCTGTTTCCTTCTGTTGGAAAGTATTGCCGTAGCTCCATTTCTTCTAATTGACTGATATTACTGGATTTAATGTAAGTCTGATACTGAACTGTTTGTGACACTGGAATTTGATATTTGGATTATCCCTGGATTGAAAACTGACTGATTTACCTGTGAATGACTTTGGACTGCTTGTTTTGAACTTTGCTTAAACCTTTATTGAAAGTAAAAAAACCTACATTTATTGTAGTGTATCTGTGTGCTGTGTGTGTATTATTCCAACACTACTCTCAAATACGTCTCCCTGTATGCGCTCATTCTCCTAACGGGGAATGACCTCAACAGGAGCCATAAAATGCCTAGGCAGGCAAACCAGATGCTTGTTGATAATAGCAATAGCACTTAGACTTTTATACTGCTTCTCAGTGCTTTACAGCCCTCTCTAAGCAATGTGCAGAGTCAGCCTCCCCCCCCCCCAACTATCTGGGTCCTTATTTTACCCATCTTGGAAGGACGCGAGGCTGAGTCAACCTGGAGCCTGGGGAGATTTGAACTGCCAAATTGAAGGCAGCCAGCAGAATTAGCTGCAGCATTGCATTCTAACCACTGCACCGTCACAGCTCTTCTAATAAGACACCCCTGGCATATGCCTCCCCCCCACCCGCCCCAGCTCTTGCTAACCACCTTCTCTCAGGAAAGCTGCTTAGGTGCAGACCTACCTTCAACAACTTGGCCTTCATGGTGGAAGGGATTGTGGTCTGGTTGACA